AAAACAGATAGCACATTAAATAGGTGTTCTATTAAAGGAACATGCCTAATCAAGACTGAATCATAATGTATGGAAAATTTTTCATTCTGATATTCTCTAACTAGTAGGTCATTGATTTATAAATTTTATATTCTTTCCAATACTATTTCTTAATTTTGGTCCTATTCAAAGAACAAATGAAAGCTATCTTGATTAATTTTTTTTTTATTGTGAATTTTAGTTTGGTGCAAGTCAGAATCTTATCTGGTTATATCAATTAGCTCTTAATTCTTATGTTTTGTTAAATAAAATTGAAGATATTTTAAATCAAATTCAAAAATACATATATACAATAAGAACCAATACAATCTACAACTGACATGGCACATTGTTTAAAAAAGATAATATATATTTGCTGATTTTCCTAAAAAATGTATATCTCATTGAGAAAATTGAAAAGCCAGAAGAATTGCACAATTCAACAACATTCTGTGATACAAACTGGAGACATCAGTATTAAATAATAAAAATAATTAAAATAATTAGACACTGTAATGCTCACTTAAATAGAAACAAAGAGTTAAATTTTTAAAAAGCCTCTTTTTTAAGTTATTTTTATGTACATCACTGGAAGCAACAGAGTAATTTTCTTCATACATACAAATGTGATTTAGCTGAATCTTCAGTGAGGCTGCCCTGTAGATAAACAATTTTATGTCTAATTTGCTTTTGACCTCTTTGCTGAAACGGCTGGTGACGCTGACATTTGTTGATAATTATAGTTTCAAGAAAATACTTAATACTAGGAAAATATATAAAAAAGGATGTTTCCATTACAATCTGGATCTCGTGCAAAGATACTTCAACAGAAAATAGTTAGAATCAATTCACACTGTTTTTCAGTAGAGAAATAGAGTAGGCTTTAAAGACCAACTTGGGCTTGAATTCTACCGCAAATGCTCTTCTTGCGAGAGGAAATCACAACACTATTCATTTTTCTTCTTTTTTTAATATAGTATATCTTCCATTTTATTTATAATAATAGTTCAGATAAAATACAAATCTGATAAAAAAAATTATTCATATCAAAATCAATACTATGGCAGCTGCTTTGAGAACTATTGATTTCAAAATGACCAGTCACAAAAAGAAACATTTTTTTATGCTCTCTGCTGAATACTTGTTTTAACTATTTGAACAGAGAGAAAATAAGAATAAAGTTAAAATACTTACCACCAACACAATAGCCCAGAGGCACTATTAAGAGCATGGATATGCACTACAAGGAAAACTAAGGGCATATATGAATGAACTTGAAAGGTTTAGCCAACTATTCATCAATGTGGCAGAATAATCTTCAAACTACATGTTATAATCTGTTGATTTTTTTTATCCAAACTAAAAACTGTTCAGTAAGCTTATATATAGTATTGATTCTATCCTATTTCAAGTATATCAAATGATTGCTGTGCTACTAATAAACTATGTTAGTATAATCCATTACAGATAATATTTTAAGAAAATGAAAACAAAAGGTTAGGAACAAAACCTACAGCCTATAGCAATCAAAATGAAATTTCACATCAACTGAAATTTTAGTTCTACGACTTCAGCA